CCCTGACCAAAGCCCTCGGCCTTTTGTAGGAGGACTGAATCAATAGCTAAACGTAGCCCTTTGTGGACGTAAGATTTCAAATTCTTTAGGCTGCAAGTTAAATTCAACACGTACAATGATATTTAACAAGCCTCTTTGCTGTGTGCCGCAGCTGGCGAAAGCTTTTCGTGGTTCTTTTCGTCTAGAAAACGTATTTCTAGATTGTTTATATTTTTGCTATCCTGTTAATGGTACTGGTGCAACGCGTTTTTCATTGTACCATACATCTTTAGTTTTACAAAGTATTGACACGGTATTGGCTCATATTATAACAAAACTATATAATTGTTCTAGCAGATATTTATTAATGTGTTCAGGCAGTCAAAGGAGTCTAAAACGGTTTTAGAACTATTTAGGCTTGAAGAGTTCCAGTTATGTTCCTCTCTAGTTTTAGATGTTTATTAAAAACTGCAACCCACTGAAAACTATTGCAGTTCTAGTCCTTTCAAAAGATGGGAAAACAAATTGGTGCATTCTTAAAGATGAATTGGATATAACAATACTAGATGTCAGTTTAGAATGCAATAACTGGTAACTTTTTCTCTTTCTTAGTGGATCTCAAAAGAAAGTGCCTGGAGTTCACCAGACACTGAGGAGGCTGCAGCAGGTTTTGACTGAACCATGGAGCAGAGCTTCGGATCCGAAGCTCTATTTCAGGTCTCCAAACGGAACCTTCCAGGATCTTCCCGGGACAGCGGGCGCCGTGAAGTACTGGACGCCTTAAAGATGGAGACGGCTAAAACGAAAGAGATCATTCGGAAGCTTCTCTCGGGTCCCTGCACATCCCGGCTGTCGGACGCGGGTCTGCCCCACGCGTGCTCTTCCGACGCAGCGAAGGACGACAGGCTGATGGACTCGCACACGAGCTCGGGGAAGGAGCGCTGGAAGGAGAACTCCGTCTCCTCCCTTAGCTGTGAAACTCCTAGAGTATCCAAGAAAGATGCCTCGTTACGAAGGCGCCTGCTCATGTCGAAAGCAGCCTCTGGTGGGAAAGGAGGCTATGCGAGGACATCGCGCAACAAGGACTTGACATCTTCAAGCATTCCCAGTATCGAAGAGGAATATTCCTTTGGGCGTTTGGATTCTCCGGGCCCCAAATGCTTTGAGGCTTTAGTAACCAGCACTTTAAAAGCTGAAGAACCGGCTTCCTGCAGAAAACGCCGTCTCATGTTCTCCCAGAACAGAACCTCGACGCTTGAAGATGAAAAGAACGCAGGCCTCCAGCCTTCAGTGAGCGAATACCCCAGTCCGGTGCTCCTTGGCACAGACGCAGATCTTGATGAAAGCATTATTTCTTGTTTCCCAGATGAATATCTTGCCCCAGAATTGCTAGAGACTCCCTGTTCTGAGAAGCTTCCTGGAACCGCGAGGGAAGACTTTAAAACTCCTGTACACAGTCTTGCCACAAACTTAAGTGAGAACTTGTCGGTCTTAAGCAGTCCATCGTTGACCCCCATTGTGAACTTTGATGCCTCAGCCAACGAGGATAGCGGCTTCAGCTCTCTGGGTCTGGATAAGTCGCAGGATTCTTTGGATGACCATGATGGCTCATTCCAGGAACTGCTGCAGCCAGTCAGAACAAGGGAAACTCCCAAACTCTCGGAAACTAAGAGGAGGTCCAGACTGGAACGGCATCGCAGGCTCTCGACACTTAGAGAGCGAGGGTCCCAGTCTGAGGAAGAGGTCAATAACTTGGACTCTGCGCCTCAAGATGCAAAGTCCCAGTTCAGAGGACAAAAGGTACTTATTTCAAAGGAAGGCGACAAATTATTTTTAACTGAAACGCCAAGAAATAAAAGCACTTTAAGACACGAGGATTTCGCAAGAACGCCTGCCCTCCAGATGGTACATGCAATTTGCCGGAGGAGTGTGAACAGGCTGCCAGAGCAAACCAGCTTGGAGGATTTACTGGGAACGTCTGGGGGTTCTGAGTTGTGTAAGACTACGATGCCTCTGGAGGGACTAATAGGAAGGAAGATGGGACTGGAAAAAGTTGACATCCTTGCAGAGCTCAACCTGAGGAACTTGAGACATGTTTTAGCAATGATACTAAATCTGCTTTCTGCAGAAGATATTTACAGGTATGTGCATAATGACACATCCATGGTCACAGATGTGTGTCCCTATCATGTGTCACCCCGTTATGTTTCATACCTGCATTGTTGATGAATTGAGGAACTCTGTGAAATTTCCCACCCCCCCCACCCCCCATGCGTCGTTTTTCCAAGACGCCCAAGTTGGCGACGTAGGCGATTTGTGGATTTTGTTCTGGAGATGAAAAAAATGTTGAAGAGCAAAATCTCTCATTAAAAGTCTTCTCCTTGTAGACAAGGCTATTGCACATGACTTAGATTGTGAATCGTTGTGTCCAAACATTAAAGTTGAGCTCCTACTACCAGCCACTGCATGTCTGAACCAACCGAGGTGTGATCTCTAACTTTAGATGCATGAGCTGTGTGTCGGGTGGGGAATCTACCCTGAAGCACAGAATTACTTTTGGTTGTGATGAAACCACACATCTTTCGAACCTGGTGACGCTTTGTTTTTATGGGTTATATATGCATTTAATATATATCAAATGTATTTCTGAACTATATGTTGGAATATATCTCAAGCTATTTCCATTATTTCTTACAGATGGTAATTCCCAAATATTTTTACTATGAGTTGCATTATTTAGGAGTGTAACCTGGATTTGGAATGGGACCCTCTGTACTGTTTTTGTTTAGATACAAATGAAACATACTTGGTTAACTTATGGTCTCTAAGCCAACACTATTTAATTGCTTATGGGGAAAAGCCTCCCACTTTAAGCAGCAAGGGCAAAATTCACACTCTTACAGTCCCAAGCCCCCAATATTTACACCGTTCTTTGAAAAATGCCCTTTTTATACGGCATTTGGCAATGATTTGTGACTTTCTGGTCCCTAACACCAACTTGTACCGGGGACCTCATGTACCATATATTTAAAATATCTCGTCAGTGTTTGCAATTTAGATTTGTGGAAAATTGTAAATTGTGAACAAAATATTTTTTTAATTAGACTGAGGCTATAAATCATTTCATACTCTGTACTGTTGTATAGCCATTGACACAGTATTTTATGTATCGTACTTTGTTGAGGATTGTTTTGCTTTTTGTGACAGATTTGGCCAGGTGTCTGATGTCTGGGATGAAATCGTTTTGCAAGACAAAATCATTCACCGCAGACGAAAATCATACCTGAAAGATCTGAAATTGGCTGCTGAGGAGGTATGTTCATCGATAGTTCTCACTAAAACTTTCCTGTGTTTCTAATGTTGATTTTTAAATTTCCAAGAACCTGTGTGGATGCCAGCATTGCTGGTAATGGACTAGGGTTCCATTCAGGGAGAGCCCTCTTGACTCTGTGCCTTTGACTTGTGTGGGCTATTGAAACCAAGATAACACCCAGCTTGATGTCCCTCCTAGGCCCGAGTATGGACTTTTACTTTCATATAATTGAGCCCCATACAATAGCACTAATGATAACATCAAATTGTCTGAATGGTTTATTACTCCTTTCAATGTCTCCTAACATCTTTATGATGACATTTTCATGTGACTTGAGAAATTTAGAGAAACTCCCAAATATAATTTACAGAAAATCCCTACGACACCAGGTCTTCTCATGAGAATTGTCTGACTGAAAGGAGTTACTTCTTTGTTTTGACAGGGTAGCGCTGTCCGTGTTCCAGATGCAGAAACAAGGTTGAATCTCCTGAGCCGGTCTGCTCTCAAGTCTGTGCAAGCACAGGCCAAGACCCCTAGTTCTCAGACTGCTAGATCTTCCAAACAGCCTTTCACACCAGTTGAGTGCAACACGGCCCATTCAGGAAGTAAACAAGATGAGTTTATAAGGGTGAGTTGAATGTGCCAGGAAAGAGAGGTGGCTTCCTGTATTAGTTCCTGAACGTTTTCTCTAAAATTTCGCTTGTCCAGTTGCTAAGCAGGTGGGTATTGCGAAGTTTTTTTCTACGATCAAATTGGCACATGAAAAGCAGAACATTCAAAACTTTCAGTCTAGGCTGACAGTTTTCATATGAGAGGGTATCTTTTATTGCCTGTTACAGATCTTGCATTTGAGAGTTGTAGTATATTACTTCTAGGAAAATACAGATTTCCATCCAACCATGTGTTGTACTCCATGTTTTGTTTGGATATTGCTGGCTCGGTTACCCAACACCACAGTACCTTGAGAGGTTTTTGGAAGAAACGTTAGTCGCATACCTTTGTTTTTGTCAGTGGGTTGCACAAGCTAATTTCATATTGAAACCAAGGTTTATATTTAATTTAATGAAATCAGAATATGTCAATGTGTTGTTGTTTTTTAACACAAGCGGTCTTGAGTAAGTCCTTAAAACATTAGCTCGCTTTTTTTCTTTCCCCTTTCTTCCTGCAGGTGGCCAAGACCCTGTTTAATGATGAGTCTCTAAGACCTTGTCCCAGGTGCCAGCGTCCTGCTAAATGTCACCCTGTGAAGAAGCAGGGAGTGTGCAGTCAGGAGGCCTGCGCCTTTCATTTTTGCACAGACTGCTTGAGTGCCTTTCATGGGTCCAAGGAATGTGGCAGCCGGTCTGCAAAACGCCGAACCAAAAAGGAGGTGCTTCCAGGAAGCGCGCAGAGCAAGCGCAACTTAAAAAGATTATAAATGTCTGTACAAAAGCACTAAATGTATATATGCTTTTCTAGAATATCGTACTTTTTTAAAATTATGCGTCTGTATAATGTGTGTACTCAGATCTTGGAATCATAGAAACCAAATTAGCTAGTAAGTGTTTTAATGTCTTTTAATCGGTTTGAGTGTTTCATAGTCTGCAAACGGGTTTCTTTGTATATAAGTTTTAATGGCATGCCTGTACAGTTCTTCCTTTTTTTTCTTCTTTTTATTAAGTTTGTTTTTATTGCTTTTTTTCATTTCTTTTTTTGCTTAGTCTTTTCGTTTTTTAAAATTTTGTTTTGGGGGTTTTTCGGCTTTTTCCATTTGAACTTGGATCCTTATTTAGGGATTAGGTTGAAAGTTCTTTTGACTTTTTTATTAGTTTATTTTGCTTTTGGTTTGGAAAATCTCTTTAGTGAGTAGCTTTTTGTTCTTTTGGTCTGGCAGCATTTTCGTTAAATGTATGAAGTTGTTTAAGGACTAGTCTTGTTACAAGAATAATCTGGAATAGATTTAAATGTTGGACAGTTTATGTCCTGCCAAGACTTTTTTTTTGGTCTTGCTACTACTTTTTTTCAGCTCCTGCCACACCACAGCTTTCTAAACAAGATGGGCTGAATTACCTCCTCTGGTTTCTAACTGCTGTTTGATCACCAACTTTTACCTGCGTGGTTCTTTTTTCCAGGAAAATAATCCTGCAATTGATTTGTGAACTATTTTTAATCATTGGCTACTGTTATCGAGATGGTAACTATCTGTCATATCAGTGGACTGGATTGATGCATATTATTGTTTCTATTTTTTTTTGCAGTTTATTCAGAGTATATAAATTGAATCTGACTTATCAATGACCTCTAAATGTGTGACAATTAGTCGCTTCAAATTTAATTTTAGTAAAGACGGAGGCAGGAGTTTTTAGATCTCATCCTTGGGTCCAGATCAAACAGTGCCATCTGCTGGATAATTATTATCATTCGAAATTCTTCAAAAAACACTGTACTAATCACAGTTGGATTTATTTTAGAAATCGCTGATGTAGCTGCAATCAAATGCTTTTTTGAATTGTCTGGTATAGATATGAACCATTTAAAAACTATTTACTGAAAATGTTTATAGTGACTTCTCATGCTTCCCATTTTCACTTTAAATTATGAACATTTAATGAAACAGTCACCACATTTCACAGCCTATTTACAAGGTTATAACTGACTGCTTTCCTGAATATTTTAACTTTACACAGTTACATTACTTGTCATGATTAGAAGTACTTCATGTCAAGTGGACAATCACACACTGTCTTCACAGAGTTTTCACATTTTGTTACTTTAAAGATTAGTCATGACATCTTATATATATTTGTTTTACACAACCTGCCCCATGGTAAAGGAAATAATTTATTTTAAAGAAACATCATTATTATGTTAGTATTCAAACCCTTTGCTGTGGCATTAGTATTCAAAAATTAGTATTCAAACCCTTTGCTAGATAAATTGTAGGTACACAAAATGACCTTAATGTGCCACACGATTAGCTGAATCTCTGTGCCATAATAGTGGTTTTCATGATTTTTGAATAAAAACGTTATTTTACAGCACATATCAGGAGGACTAAACAAATATGAAAGTTTCTGACAGACCCTGTGCGTGCAGTCTACTCAATCATCAGGAAATAGAAGGTGCATCTTCCAGCCCAGCTACTAACTAGATCGGACTGGTCCTGGTCACTCAAATTATGTTTCTGTGATGTACAGTACATACATAGTATACACTTTACATCCATGATCATGGCGTTTCTCAATTTGCTCACCATTGCAGAGCTTAATCTAAAAGTGCAGGTCTAATGGTTCCCACCGTTTAAAATATTTAACCTAAAACAGCTTTGATTTTTATTTGATATAAATAGTTCTGCTTCACAATTTTTATT